TCTTCTTCATGCCTAATTTCTTTATGAGCAATCAGTTTAACAGTATAAACATGACTCATGCTATAAAGGAATGTATACATGGTTATATAACCTGTCTATCAGATGAATATGTCCAGGTAGGATGCAATTTAGTCAATTTTCTCCCAGTTGCACTCGTTATAAATAGCAAACAAGAAGACTTAAAGTATTAAAAGTAGGGCTTTGGTAACATCTTCCTTCTCCATGTCAGCTTGGCTCTACCAGACCAGGCTCTACCTTAAGGAATTCAGTTTACTATGACAAGAATATTTTCTAACATCTTTTCTCATATTAATAACAAGATCTCAAATTAATTCATATTTCCAAATGACACATTTGGATCTCTACATCTCTCTATCTCTAAATCTCTACAACTATCTCTCTTAAAAAAAACCAACCAAACCTAAAACCTGGAGTTTCCCTGTGGTCCCAGACTGGGCTCCAGAGGGATCAGACTAATTTTAATGAGAGCTGGACTGCAATGAGCAATCTGTCAAGTCACTTATAGCCTGTCCAAGGAATCAGCAGAAGGTCTTATGGTTCTCCTGCAACCTTCAGTACTTCAGGCTCCAGGCCAAGCACAGATAAATCAGCACAGATGGTACCAGGGAGCTGCAGCCCAGTGTAACTGTGCTAATGAAGCCATGTACTTTCCACAAGAGCAAACACAACAGGGCACCGTTAGTACCTGGCAGAGAAAGGGAAGTACCAGACTACACCAAGCAAAAGTGAGGCTCCCATCTGCGCCTTCGAGAACACAACAGCTTCCAAAAATGAAAATTTTGGAACATATGCAAAAGACAATCTAACTAAACAACGGGGATTTGTGCTCTGATGGAACGAGGCACCAGCCACCTTCCCCAGATCCTGACAGGGAGGGATCTGCTGTGCAGAATCTGGAAATCTGGAAGGGAGGTGGTGATAATCTGCCTTACAATAGCATTTCTCTAAGACATGGGGTACTAGGAAACTTTCTGGTTGTAGTCCACCCAAAAGTCAGACTGCAGGCTCTGGTTGCTTGTAGCAACAGAAGATGTACTGGAAAGAAGGAGAAAAGTCACTTTCTGGATGCCAAGATGCTGTGGGATGTTTCTGGTCGTCAGTGATCTTCTAGGACAAAAGAAAGCCTTTCTGATCCCATCATTGTGGTCACCACAGGCACACCTGGCTCAGAGACTCTTCTGTAAAGCAGTTCTGTGATGATTCATAACTCAGAGCTCACAGAAACGTAACAACACGTGGCAACACAGACCCAGGATCCAAACTGGAAATTCAGGATGGTGGCAGCAGTGGGAGCAAAAGCAAATTACTCTCAAGAGTAATTGGGATGGAAATGAAAAAGCAAACAAGCAGAAGGCTTTACATTTGTACTCTGCCATCAGCCAATACATTACTGCCAAGCTGCTGAGGTACCAAGGTGTTTACTCATGTTACTCTTACTACAACAGACAAAAATCTTTAGTGTGAAGATGAGTGATATGTTCTGATAAGCCTGCAATAACCCTTACCTTGGAATGCTCTGAGAGGAATTCTGGGAGGAGGTAGACCTGGGCAAGGAGCTCTATGTAGTCACGACAACGGAAGTAATATATGTGAGAAAGGATACTTTCAAGAGAGAAGGTCTCCAAAGCTTTCAGATGATCTGAGAACAAGCAAACAGATGAATAAATGAGTCAGAAGTCTGTACGAGCATATTGTTACTTTCATCATTCCACCAAACTATGCCCTCCACACATAGCAACAGCAAAGCCCTCAGAAACAGAACAGGCAAGGTAGAGAGTGTGGAGACATACCTTCCATCTGGCTTGAAAGTCAGGAAGGTGGTGAGCAGATGCTCTCTCAGCATTTGCACACAGAGACACCGGAGCCTCCAAGGGAGGGCTCCAAAAATGAAACATTTATTTCTGAAACAAGAACTTTTCCAGTAAATCATTTTCAAGCCAGAACACCACCAGAGGCCATCAGGGACTATTAATCATCCTTTGTTCAATGTACAGGCAGCAGCTCATTTAATACGGTGCCCTTTCACCTCACTTCAAGCAGAAGTTTGGTGCATAAATTCTCCAAGAGCAACATGCAAGTTTTGTCACTGTCCCCAACAGACTGATGACTTAGAGAATAAAAATCCTCAAAAAAAGCAGCCTGGCTATATTGACCTTATGGAGGAGCTGAATTCCAGCTACAGTTTTACTATGTGGGGCTTCAGCAGCAACAGTGCCTCAAAAAGTTCTGCTGTTGCTCTTCTCTTTCCCCACCCAACCCTTATGTGTTGCAGCACATAATCCCTCAGTTTTGCTGAACAGAGTTGTGTTTGGGTTTAGCTGCACATGTGACCTTTAAAGAGAAAGGAAAGGAAGGAAAGGAGGGAAGAAAGGAAGAGAGAAAGAAAGAGAGAGAGAGAGAGAAAGAGAGAGAAAGAGAGAGAAAGAGAGAGAAAGAGAGAGAAAGAGAGAGAAAGAGAGAGAGAAAGAGAGAGAAAGAGAGAAAAAGGAAGGAAAGGAGGGGAGAAAGAAAGAGAGAAAGAGAGAGAGAGAGAGAAAGAGAGAAAGAAGGAAAGAAGGAAAGGCAAACACCAAACCCCCACATACCTAAACCCCCTCAGATCATCATGTAGAGAAAGAATTATTCTTAAAGTAAACCAGCTCAGTCTGCAGCACAGCTCCAGACACTGATGCAATCCAGGGTTTGATACACACAGGTGGAAATAAAAGGCTGCCAGCAAGAACTTCCTAAGCCCCAAATGTAGCACTGCAGCCCAGGAGACACTTGTTTCTCTCCATCCCTGCCTACCAGGCAGAAAGAAACAACTCAGCAAGGTACCTTCCTCTTGCTGAGCCTCAGCAATGAGCTGGCAGTGCTGCACACAGGCAGCTGCCATATCCACCACTCTGTCTACCATGAAACTTCCCTCGGTGTCAATGAACACGGCTTCTCCAGCGACGCCCCCAAAGCACTCCGGGATCTGCACGTCTACTGCCAGCTGCATACTGCCACGGGAAACAGGAGAAAAGGGAGACATTTACACCACAGACCCCTCCTGGCCCGCTCCTGAAGGGACATTTCTGCCGAGAAACCACAAAAAGCGGTTCTTGGTGGCGCAAAGGTCACCCGGCGGTAAAATACCACAGCTGCGTTTTCCCCACGCCGGGCGCTCCGCAGACCTCGGTGATTTTTGTCAGCTGCACACCCCCTCCCAGAATGTTGTCCAGTGCTGAGCAGAAGGTGATGATGAAGCCCTGGGCTTGCTCTTCCTCCAGAAGCTCCAGGGCTGTGAACTTTCTGGTGGCGCCTGACCCCCCGGCAGTCCTTGCTGCGTCCCCGTGACATTCCTGCCTCACCACCTGCAGGGCTTCCAGCGCCTCTTCTTTGGAAATCCCAATCTCTGGAAAAGTCAAAACCACCTTATTTTTATAAACAGCGATTGGTTTAAAGAATGATGAGGTAATTCAACGTTTGACAGAACATAACACAGAATTATCCATATCCACCCTTTCAGTGTAACACACGCGCAGCCCTGGGACTAATGGTGGGGTTTTCAAAAGAACTCAGAGCAATGATGTGCCGTGTTTGGGGTTCAGGTGACAGCAAGTTATCTGCAAATAATAATAAAATCAAAGCATCTGCAGATAATAATAAAATCAAACCTGCTGCTCACAGATGGATGAGCTCTGGCAGAGCAATTCCCCTACTCTGCACCAAATGCACTATCATAATAATTTCATTGGAAGCAAATAATGCCCTGCAAAAGAAGCCAGGTTGCAGACCAGTAAGTGCCAGTGACACTCACTGATTGTGGGTATTTTCAGGGTACCCCAGGGCTGAGAACCTGATGCTTCATTTTTATATTTGAACCACAGATCAAAGAACAGAGATGAGAGACCTGCAAATATCTTTATACACACATCTGCCTTGACAGATCCAGCTTTGATTGCCAAAGCAAAAACTATTACCACATATCATCATAATTAACAAAACTACTGATAATCAAAATCTCAGACTAGTTTGGGTGGGAAGGAGCATTAAATATCATCTCATTCCACCCCCTGCCATGGACAGGGACACCTTCCACTAGCCCAGGTTGCTCCAAGCCCCGTCCAACCTGGCCTTGGACACTTCCAGGGATGGGGCAGCCACAGCTTCTCTGGGCAACCTGTGCCAGGGCCTCCCCTCCCTCACAGGGAAGGGTCAGGACACACCCCTTATCTAGTCTGCAAATCTTATTTACAGCTCTTGAAAGAGGCAACTTCCTCACTCCACAGAGGCTTATTTTGTTTAAATCACACAGAAAAAAAGAAGAGGGAAGCTGGGGAAAGAAGAGGGACGAGACTGGCAGAATCCTTTCGTTTTCCTGCATCCCGTTTGCATCCATCGCTCAGTGTAAGACAGATCTACCAAAACCTTGTGAACCTCACTCAGTATTTACTGTGCCCGTTTCTCGGGTCACACGGAAGCCTCAGCAAGGGGTCCCAGAGCCGGGAAGGGGACGGGGGAGAGCGGAAGGGCGCGGGGAGGCCCCGCGGGGCCGAAGCGCCGCCGGTACCTTTGCTCAGGCCGCAGGGGCCGGTCTCCAGCAGCTCCTGCGCCGTCTGGAAGCCGGCGGCGGCCAGGCGGGCCCGCAGGGCGGGGGCCAGCGGCAGCGAGCCCACCTCCCGCTGCATTGGTGGCACCGGGATCAGGACCGGGATCAGCACCGGCACCGGGAACGGGTGGGAACGGGGGGGGCAGGCCACGCCCCCATGGGCGGGGTCAAACACAGACCACGCCCCAACCACCGGGCCACGCGTCGAAGGGCGGGGATATTACGTCATTCTTTCCGCCCCGCCCCCTATTGTGGGGCCCCGCCCCCCTCTGGCGCGCGAAAGCGGCGGCCGCGCACGAGGCCGGCGGGGGCGCTGCGCATGCGCGGGGCGCGGAGCCGTGAGGGCGGTGCCGCCCGTGGCGGCCGCTCCTGCGCCCGTTCGGGTCGTTGGTCACTGCGGTCACGGGGGGGACCGGAACCCTGGGCTCCTCCAGGGCCGAGCAGCCACAGCGCTTTGTATCGGCTGCTGCAGGTGCTGAACTCGGAGATAAGTTAAGTCGTAGTGCTTTGCAGCTCTCGTGACGTTCCGTACCTTTTCCCGGCTCTGTTGAGGGAAGGAGATGGCTCATCCTATCCCTCTTCCGTTTCCATGCCCAGTCCAGCTTGGAAGTATAAAAGGGGACTCCCTGGAAGCCGAGCTGCATGACTATGTCAGGGAAGGGAACTATGTGAAAGTGAAGAAGCTTCTGAAAAAAGGTAACAGCTAAGTTTAGGCAAGTAGTGGCAGAAAAGATTTACTTTTTCCTGTATAGTTTTATGTCTGGTAAAAAACAGTCATCAACTGCCTGCACAGTTCAGTTTTCTGAGTGAAATATATATATATAAATAATTTTGTGTGTATATATATATATATACACACAAAATGATTTATAGTTGCCCTTTTCTGATAAGTGGGAATAGTTATTGAATAAAAAAAATCTATTAAGATATTGCATTAAAATAAAATAAATTTAAAATATAAATGTAAAGAATGAAATATATATAAATAAATGAAATAAAATAGAAAGAATAAATGATCCCTGCAATCCTGGGATGAAATTTTATTTTATTTATTAAAGTAAATTTAAAAGAAAACTAATCTTTTACTCGTATGGTGCTCAGAAGGAATTGATTGAGGCATTGTAAAACTGAAACTCTGAAAGTCTGCTATAGAAATACTCTCTTTAAACGGGATATTTATTCAAGCAAAGCGCTTGAAGTGTGGTTTAGGTACTGGTGTTTTCACATCCTGATTTGTAAGCAGATGGGAACAGGGGATTGTGTAAATGAAACCCAATTCTTAATACAGTTTTATTTCTGTTTTACGATCGAGGACGTCAGTGGGTTGCGCTGTTCCAGAGCTGCGACATCTCCGTGTTCGCGGGTGCGGGGGCCGCGCGGGGCGGGGCCCGCTCCTCCGCCAGCCTGCGGGCTCGCGTCTGATTGGACAGCTGCGGTAGAACATGCAAATGAGGGGGGCGTGTCCCGAAAAATGACCCACGCGGGTGGCGAGCGCTCCCGTGGGGCTCCGGGCGCGCTCCCGCGCGGCGGAGGCTGTGCGGCGGCGCGGGGACCCGTCCCGAGTGTGCTCGGGGTGGGTGTTTTGGGGTGTCCGTGTGTTAGCGGGCGGTGCGTGCGGGTGTGGCGCGGATGTTTGCGGGTGG